AGACATGATAATAATTATAAGAATATGTTGAAGAATTTTAATTATAATTTACGAAAGACAACACAGCTATTCCATGGGATTAATTTACTCTTGAAATAATGTTGTCGTCTTGTTTCTTATCAGTGACCTACTGTTTGTAATTAAATAGTTGTCTCATTAAATTGTTGTTATTTTTAGTGTAATGTAGTTTGTTGCATTTCAGTACTGACTTGCTTTTTGTTTTGTAGTTCGAGCAATTAACTGAATGATATAAAAAAAGCAATTTTTATAATATTTAAAATACAGTTGTGTGACGGTATAATACAAGTCTTAAGATTTAATAATTTCAATCGCAGAATAGGTTGATCTATTCAAGTTTTCATGTTCCGATATTGTACATAACACATCAGAAATCTCTTAAATTCAGTACAATTCAATTAACAATAACAATCGTTTCACTTATAAATAAAGTATATATATATTGGATTCATATATATTGCGGAGTCAGTCTTTCTGTCTGTCCGTAATACATTTTCGGAAGACCCCAAATATCTTAAGCATCTACATCTTCAATAATTCTAATAGACATGCTTTCAAAAAGTTTCCTATTTAAAATCAGCAAAAAAGTTCTATAATGAATATGAACGTTTTTAACAACCACAGACTATTCAAAGTTTTTATGTTCCAATATTGGATATAACACTTCAGAAATCTCTTAAACTCAGTACATTTCAGTTAACAACAACAATCGGTCCATCTATATATATAAAGAATATATGCATATGTTTTGGATCCTTATATATAGTCTATCTGTTATAAATTTTCTGAACACCCCAGATATCTTTGGCATCTAAATCTTAAAGAATTCTATCAGACATGCTTTAGAGTAGTTTCCTATTTTAAATCAGTAAAATCGGTCCATAATGAATATAAACATTTTTAACGACCACAGACTCGCAGAATCATATTATCTTAAATCAGTTACACTATGCAACAAAAATATTTATATATCAGGGAAATAACACAATTTTTCTAAAAGTTGCTTTCGAGTATTATAAAAATCTCTTTTTGAAATTTGCCAAACACCTACAAAATCTTGAGCTATGGGTTAAAACAGGGGGTTTCGTACATTTATGCACTTAACTTAGTTGAATTTCAACCAATTTTAAATGTCTCAACAGAAAGAAAGAACTGGTTTGTTGATGAAATGCTTGGGCTACTTAAACATTATATATCATTATAAAGGCCTCAGTCTCTATTTTCTAAATCGGTTGCAATTCACATAAGTTATTGACCTATAAGTGTTTAAATGCTCGCCAAACCGGTTTTTACACTGATGTAGTTGTGTCCGTTGTCCTGGATGTCTAATCAAACTAACATCAAATTTCCACGTGCTCAGGGATCTTCTCTGTTTCGTTTCATTATAGGGTTATCTTATACGATTTTTGAGGTCCTATTCACAGTTCCATTATTGCATGTGGTTTAGAAAAATTCTCTTGCCCGCTTCTTGAAGTTCCCTGCCCGTAAATACTTTCGTAACCGATTATATTCGAGTGGTCTGATGTCCATAGGATGCATATTTTACCACAAAAAGAAAAGCCATTCTTAGTGTCTAATACAGACTTAGACTTAAAATAATCTGCTGACAACGTTCTTTCAGGCTATCGAGTCCATTTCACACATTTCGTGATAGCTCGGACTTTGGCTAGTGTTGTGATCTGTTACTGTGTTTTCTATGTAGTTCCTCATATACGTTCTATCTCCTAGCTATGAGTCGCCATTGTAGCTACAGATTCTCAAATAACTGTTGATGCGATGTTTTCAATGTAGTTTCTCAAATACGTTCTATCCCCTAGCTAAGAGTCGTCACTTGACCATGATATCCTATCAGATCTCTGGTATTTGTATATAATATTGATCAGCGATGAATTTCGTAAACCAATAATTTATAAATATTGGTATTTAGACAAAATCATAGGATCAAAGGATCTGTAGATGATCGATCCATATTTGGTGATGGCATCAAGTTGTCGTCCTTAGCCAACTATATTTTTATATTACGGTTTTTTCATAATTCTTTTGAAGTTCTCTGGGAAACTACCAAAGATATTTCGATGAATTTTGTCACACATTATTTTTTCAGGGCAGTAATCAATCATGTTCAAAATCTTTACAATCGATCCAGTATTTTCCATAGCCCCCATACAAAGGTATATATTCCCGGAAATTAGTTTATCGTTAATAACTCCCTCAAATATATCGGTATCAACACAAAATTTTGTACATGCAAATATAATATGAACAGAAATCATACTATCAACGTAGATCTCAGTCGGTCCACAATTGGTCATAGCTCTCATATAAGGTCCACTTCCGAAAATCACCTAAACGCACATATTTCTTTGATGAGTAAAGCTATTGTGATAAAAGTCGAGTTAAATATGTTTTGTGTACATATAAATCATTCTACCAAATTTTTTACGGATCGGTCCATTATTGGTCATAGCTCCCATATAAGGCCCACTTCCGAAAATCATTTAAAAGCTCATATATCATTGTCAAACAAAGCTATCTTGATAAAATTCGACACAAACATGTTTAGTCTAAATATGAATCACTCTACGAAATTTTTTCCGGATAGGCCAATAATTGGTCATAGCTCCCATATAAAGTCCACTTCCGAAAATCACTTAAACGCATATATTTCAATGAATTATAAAGCTATTGGGATAAAATTCGACACAAATATGTTTTGAATACATACAAATCATTTTACAATTTTTTTTACGGATCGGTCCATTATTGGTCATAGCTCCCATATAAGGCCCACTTCCGAAAATCACTTAAAAACACATATTTCATTGTCAAATAAAGCTATCGTGATAAAATTCGACATAAATAGATTTTGTCTAAATGTGAATTACTCTACTAAATTTTTTCCGAATAGGCCCATAATTGGTCATAGCTCCCATATAAGGGGCACTTCCGAAAATCACTTAAACGCATATATTTCATTGAATTCTAAAGCTATCGGGATAAAATTCGACAAAAATATGTTTTGTGTACATTAAAATCATTCCACCAAATTTTTTACGGATCGGTTCATTATTGGTCATAGCTCCCATATAAGGCCCACTTCCGAAAATCACTTAAAAGCACATATTTCATTGTCAAATAAAGCTATCTTGATAAAATTCGACACAAATATGTTTTGTCTTTATATGAGTCACTCTACGAAATTTTTTCCGGATAGGCTCATAATTGGTCATAGCTCCCATATAAGGTCCACTTCCGAAAATCAATTAAACGAATATATTTCATTAAATTCTAAAGCTATAAGGATAAAATTCGACTTGAATATGTAATGTGTACATATAAATCATTCTACCACTTTTTCCCCGGATCGGTCCATTATTGGTGATAGCTCCCATATAAGTCCCACTTCCGAAAATTACTTAATCGCACATATTTCATTGTTAAATAAAGTTATCTTGATAAAATTCGACACAAATATGTATTGTCTTTATATGAATCACTCTACGAAATTTTTTCCGTATAGGCTCCCATAGAGGGTCCACATACGAAAATCACTTAAACGCACATATTTCTTTGAATAATAAGGCTATCGGGATGAAGTACGACTTGAATATGTTTTGTGAGCATATAAATCATTCTACCAAATTTTTTCCGGATTGATCCATATATTGTAGTAGCTCCTATATAAGGTCCACTTCAAAAAAATCACTTAAACGCACACATTTCATTATCAAATAAAGGTATCTTGATAAAGTTCGACACAAATATGTTTTGTGTAAGGTCATAGCTCCTATACATATAAAGTCCACTTCCGAAAATCACCTAAACGCAAATATTTCATTAATTAATAAATCTATTGTAGTAAACATTATACTAAATCATTATACTAAATTTTTTCTTTATCGGTTGATAATTGGTCACAACTCCCATATAAGGTACATTTCCGAAAATTACTCAAATGCACTTGATAATCAAAGTTATCGGGATAAAATTCGACATAAATGTGTATTTTGTATATATAAATCATTCTACGGATTTTTTTCTTCCGGATCGGTCCATAGGTTGTCTTAGCTCCCATATAAGGTATACTTCTGAAAATCACTTAATATCACTTAATTCGTAATTAAATGATTATATCTGGATAAAATTCAAAATGAGTATGTTCTGTGTACAGATAAATCATTATATTAAAATGTTTTCAAACTGGCCTATTAATATACATTTTTCTCGACCTAATTAAAATTAGTTTGATATATGCATAAATGTTAGTACCCTCAATAAGGAAACGAAAATTTCGCCAAGTTATCTAAAAATTAGATAGTTAAATGGGTCTCAATGAAAAGTAGCTTGCTGGTGGAGGGTATTTAAGATTCGGCAGAGCCGAATATAGCACTCTAACTTGTTTTTTATTTGTTATACCCACCACCACCATTAGTGTCGATATAGGGTATATATAAGTTTGTCATTCCGTGTGTAACACTGAGAAATTTTCGCGGAGATCCTACAAAGTACGGAAAATATACTATATTATATACTTAATCCCGATGAAGTTCTGAGTCTATCCATCTGTCAGTCCGTTAAAATAAAATTCAATCAAAATATTTATCATTGTCTTAGGTAATTCGGTCCAAAAAGTTTGGCATTATGAGTAAAAATTTCTGACAACCTCGAAATTAAGCTGGAGAATATTTTAGATTCGGCACTCCAACTTGTTTATATGTATATATACGTCCTTAAAGTATACCAATCGGATCAGAATCACTCTCTGAGTCGATTTAGCAATGTCCGTCCGTACGTCCGTCCATCCGTCTGTGTGTCTAATTAAACCTTGTGAGCATATTACGGATCACAATTTTCAAGATAATTTGATAAAATTTGGCACATACTTTTCTTTTGACCCAAGGGCGAAGCTTATTGAAAATGGTTAAAATCTGTCCATTACTTCATACCTCTGAATTAAGGTTAAAATGAAATTATGTTCTTACCTTTCCGATATATATAGAAACTGCTAATATTGTCCACAACACTCAATAACTCAGACTGTTAAACACAAAATAAAAACCTGCAAATTAAAAATCAAATGAAAAACATTAACACATTATCATGTAAATTTGAAAAAACGTCAGTCTTTATAAAATTTCTATTAAATATTTCCGTGAAAATATTTACAAACAAACAATCCATATAAAATTGCGAAGAAAATCCAACATGCATTTACATTTCAACAAATTAATTTTTTCTATCACAATTGATATTTATACTCAAACTTGTATAAATTTGAAACACTATTTACTATGCATATATATAGAGTAGTATTTACTCATAGTATTTTTTTTGGATTTTCTAAAATAAAATGACGCGTCATTTAGTCACAAGAAAATGAAATATTGCACTGTGGTTTGAATTAGCTGATTTTAAATATAACATGTTATGAATAAAAGTTAATATTTGAAATAAATTCCCATAAGTTAGTTGACTGATTGGTATAAGTCTATAAGTTAGAGGGTTATGAGTTTGATTCATATTTGTGTCACTATTACGGTTTTATTACATCTTAATCGTGAAGAAACTATCAATATTTGATATTTATATTAAAACAGCAAACATATTTTTAAAATAATTAATGACAAATATTTTCCTCTTCTCATCACTGTGTCCAACGGCAACATCATGTATTTATTTCCAACAATTGCGTGGATACAATAAATCAAACAGTGAGATAAAAATGATACTTTTACAAGTAGATTTTTTATCTTTTATTACAAAAGAAAATAAAAAATGTGTAAAGACAAAAATATAAATAAAAATTCTAACTTAAAAATGAGCAACAGTTTTGCTATTGCGATTACAATCATTTTTTATTCTGTTGGCAAACTAATCATGTGGTATATTTTATGCAAAGAACAATTTGCAGAACAATCTGTTAGATACATATTTTTTTATAGTTTTATAATGTTTGCATTAGGGGAATATATGAATGAGTTGGGCCACACACATAATACTGCAGTTGTGGTTGTGTGTGAAATTGTAGAATTTGAAATTATTGCCAAGTAGTTCCATATTTGCTTAGATATCTTCTGATGATCAATATACTTGTTGCTGGTAATGACTGACAGCTCCCCTCCGGTACCAGGACAAGGATCGGTTGGAATCCTAGCCTAACTCATGTGCGCCTTCCCTGCTTGAGTCGTTCAACACCTTCGAGCTTACTCATGAGAATTACATGGAACACATTAACAACAACGACACAAACAAACAATCGCAGGAATCCATTGTACAAGCCAAAGCTTGTAGAATGCCATCTAATCTTCTGGTGGTAGTTTTTTTTTTTTTTTTTTTTTTTTTTTTGATACAACAATAAATTTTATTCAGAAATTTTCGTGTTTTCATAATTACAATTCAGTAATAAACAAATTATAAATTAAAAAAATATAATAAATGTATGTATATTATATTTTGGATCATCCGCATCTCTATGTCCTCAGGGATGTATATCGTGTTATAATTCAGGGATGGGGTATGACATCCTGTTAGGAATCAGACATTATGGATGTAATAGGCATCATGGAGGATAATGAATCATCTTGGATGTTTTGTGTTTCCATAGGAGTGAGTGTTGTGATAATGTTTCTTATCAGATTTTTGCAATCTACCCCGCAAAGTCTGACAGATAGCAGCATGGTCATCATAGATGTCGTACTAAGCACCTCAGCAGTTAATCAAGTCTTCAATAGTAATCCAGCCAATATCATGACCAAGCAGTGGCTCCCGCGATCTCTGGAACTATTGGATCCACCAAACGTGCCACCTTGCGCTTAGTCGACCGACTTGTATCTAAGCCTTCCAGCAACTCACTAGTTCAGTTCTAGTTCAGTTCGAGTTCAGTTTAGTTCAGTTCTAGTTCAGTTCTAGTTCAGTTCTAGTTCAGTTCTAGTTCAGTTCTAGTTCAGTTCTAGTTCAGTTCTAGTTCAGTTCTAGTTCAGTTCTAGTTCAGATCTAGTTCAGTTCTAGTTCAGTTCTAGTTCAGTTCTAGTTCAGTTCTAATTTCAGTTTAGTCAGTCCTAGTTCAGTTCTAGTTCAGTTCTAGTTCAGTTCTAGTTCAGTTCTAGTTCAGTTCTAGTTCAGTTCTAGTTCAGTTTAGTTCAGTTCTAGTTCAGTTCTAGTTCAGTTCTAGTTCAGTTCTAGTTCAGTTCTAGTCTTCAGTTCTAGTTCAGTTCTAGTCAGTTCTAGTTCAGTTCTAGTTCAGTTTCTAGTTCAGTTCTAGTTCAGTTCTAGTTCAGTTCTAGTTCAGTTCTAGTTCAGTTCTAGTTCAGTTCTAGTTCAGTTCTAGTTCAGTTCTAGTTCAGTTCTAGTTCAGTTCTAGTTTCAGTTCTAGTTTCAGTTCTAGTTCAGTTCTAGTTCAGTTCTAGTTCAGTTCTAGTTCAGTTCTAGTCGTTCTAGTTCGTTTAGTTCAGTTTCTAGTTCAGTTCTAGTTCAGTTCTCTAGTTCAGTTCTAGTTCAGTTCTAGTTCAGTTCTAGTTCAGTTCTAGTTCAGTTCTAGTTCAGTTCTAGTTCAGTTCTAGTTCAGTTCTAGTTCAGTTCTAGTTCAGTTCTAGTTCAGTTCTAGTTCAGTTCTAGTTCAGTTCTAGTTCAGTTCTAGTTCAGTTCTAGTTCAGTTCTAGTTCAGTTCTAGTTCAGTTCTAGTTCAGTTCTAGTTCAGTTCTAGTTCAGTTCTAGTTCAGTTCTAGTTCAGTTCTAGTTCAGTTCTAGTTCAGTTCTAGTTCAGTTCTAGTTCAGTTCTAGTTCAGTTCTAGTTCAGTTCTAGTTCAGTTTAGTTCAGGTTCTAGTTTAGTTCCAGTTCAGTTGTAGTTCAGTTCTAGTTCAGTTCTAGTTCAGTTCTAGTTCAGTTCTAGTTCAGTTCTAGTTCAGTTCTAGTTCAGTTCTAGTTCAGTTCTAGTTCAGTTCTAGTTCAGTTCTAGTTCAGTTCTAGTTCAGTTCTAGTTCAGTTCTAGTTCAGTTCTAGTTCAGTTCTAGTTCAGTTCTAGTTCAGTTCTAGTTCAGTTCTAGTTCAGTTCTAGTTCAGTTCTAGTTCAGTTCTAGTTCAGTTCTAGTTCAGTTCTAGTTCAGTTCTAGTTCAGTTCTAGTTCAGTTCTAGTTCAGTTCTAGTTCAGTTCTAGTTCAGTTCTAGTTCAGTTCTAGTTCAGTTCTAGTTCAGTTCTAGTTCAGTTCTAGTTCAGTTCTAGTTCAGTTCTAGTTCAGTTCTAGTTCAGTTCTAGTTCAGTTCTAGTTCAGTTCTAGTTCAGTTCTAGTTCAGTTCTAGTTCAGTTCTAGTTCAGTTCTAGTTCAGTTCTAGTTCAGTTCTAGTTCAGTTCTAGTTCAGTTCTAGTTCAGTTCTAGTTCAGTTCTAGTTCAGTTCTAGTTCAGTTCTAGTTCAGTTCTAGTTCAGTTTTACAGTTCTAGTTCAGTTCTAGTTCAGTTCTAGTTCAGTTCTAGTTCAGTTCTAGTTCAGTTCTAGTTCAGTTCTAGTTCAGTTCTAGTTCAGTTCTAGTTCAGTTCTAGTTCAGTTCTAGTTCAGTTCTAGTTCAGTTCTAGTTCAGTTCTAGTTCAGTTCTAGTTCAGTTCTAGTTCAGTTCTAGTTCAGTTCTAGTTCAGTTCTAGTTCAGTTCTAGTTCAGTTCTAGTTCAGTTCTAGTTCAGTTCTAGTTCAGTTCTAGTTCAGTTCTAGTTCAGTTCTAGTTCAGTTCTAGTTCAGTTCTAGTTCAGTTCTAGTTCAGTTCTAGTTCAGTTCTAGTTCAGTTCTAGTTCAGTTCTAGTCCAGTTCTAGTTCAGTTCTAGTTCAGTTCTAGTTCAGTTCTAGTTCAGTTTCAGTTCAGTTTCTTAATTTTGCATTCAGTTTCTTAATTCAGTTCAGTTTCTTAATTTTACATTCTTCATTACTAAAATTTCCTTCATCCTTTACTTTGTAAAAATAATTTCAAACTTTATATTACGTCACTTGAAGTTCGACAAACATTCTTCTTTATATTTATGAAAGAAATTCAGTAAAACAATGTCTTATCACTTGTTTTCACATTAGCAGCAGTATTATGAACGTTTTTGCTACATTTTATCCCTTATAATCGTTAAAATTCCCACAACATAATATTATGTTTGATTAACAATCCTAGAAAATACTTTATAAAAAATCTTAAGAAGTGACAAATATTAAAAAAGCATCATAAATCTTGAAATATTTAACAGACAATTTGTCACAAACATAAAACACCTCTTAACGTCATTCACTCATTTGTATGAAGAAGAGCAACAGCTGAAGTGAAAACGAAGACGAAGAAGAACAACAATGTTCATTAGAGTTATAAAATAAGTTCATGGATGTGAGAGGGGTAGAAAATAATAATGGATTAATGCTAAAACTCATACAGACAACATATGCTACAATCCTGTAATAAATGGTATAGGGGCAATTTCATGTCAAGTGACCAACTAAAAAATCGATAGATTAAATTTACACCAATGTCCAAATCGGAAGACATTGTTCAAATCGGAAGACATTGATTTTTAAATTGGGTCACTTGACTTACTTCATGAGATATTAAGAAACATATTTACGTTATAAATGGACAAGTTTCATAATATGAATCCATAGTTCAAACTAATGACTAATCCATCGTCTAGTGCGTGAACTAAACCCAAAAGAAGTCTATAAAGTAGTCGCCATCGGACTATTTCATAGATGTGTCTATATTGTAGTCCATACGCCAATTTAAAGAGTGGTTCATAAATAATTCCATAATATTTAATAGGCTAGTACATAGAATAGTCCATATAGAGTAGTTAAGGTATTCCCTAGATTAGTAAATAAACAAGTCCATAGACTATTCAATAAAGAAGTCCACATACTAATCATCCACATATTAATCATACTATTCAAAGAATTAATCATTAAACTAATCTATAGGATAGAACATATATTAGTTCTTAGACTACTTTGTAGATTGGTCAAAAGACTACTCCATAGAATATTCCATAGACTAGATCAAAGATTAATCTAGTATATACTGGTTCGTTAATGTGGTAGTTCACT